GTGCCATGGCATCACAGCTCATAGCAACCTCCAACTCCTGGGCTCAAGTGAGTCTCCTGCCTCAGCCTCCTCAGTAGTTGGGACCACAGGTGCCTGCCACAGCACCCAGCTATTTTTTGGTTGCAGCCCGCATTGTTTGGTGGGCCCGGGCTGGATTCAAACCCACCACCTTAGGTGTATGTGGCTGGTGCCTTAGCCGCTTGAGCCATACGTGCCGAGCCAGACCACAGTTTTTAATGCATTCCTGTGTTTACAGCCACCTGGGTTGATTCCACGTGTTGGCAATTGTGACTTGAGCTGACATAAATATTCTAGTGCAAATGTCCTTGTCATGCAAGAATTTCTTTCCTTTCTGGGTAGATGTCTAGGAATGGGATTGCAGGATCAAATGAAACATTTTAAAATAAAAGTTTGCAAATAAAAACAAGATAATACACAGGGCAGGGGAGGGATGGTGAAGAAACAAACCAAACAGGCCACATGATGCCCCCATGGCCATCCATTTCTGGATGGACTAGGGCAGCCCTTCATGGTGGGGCATTTCCACCTTTCTGCTTCACCCTACACACTGTGCAAAGTGCCATATTTAGGGTGTAAGGAAAAAAAAAATACTTTTCAGTTCCAGGCATTAAAAAGATGCTAATCTGGTGAGCGTCTTTTGACTTTATTTATTTGTGTTTAAACGAGTTTGGAGGACAGACAGAAGTCAGAACCTTGTTTTCATAGAGACATGCTCTGTCTTCTTTTTTTTTTTTTTTGCAGTTTTTAGGCTGGGGCTGGGTTTGAACCCACAACCTCCAGCATATGAGGCCAACACCCTACTCCTTTGAGCCACAGGCATTGCCCATGTGCCATCTTCTTAACACAGGGGTCTCTTTGCACAGATAAGGCCATGTTTAGGGAGAAGGAAGTCACCTGTAAACTAGAAAGAAAGCAGTCTGGATTCTCTTAACACCTGTGCTGTGTTGGGCAAATCCTCACCAGGGCCTCCCTCTGGAGCATCAAAATGTGTGCTGCACGGCCTGGGCGTGGTGGCTCACACCTGTAACCCCAGCATTCTGGGAGGCTGAGACAGGTGGATTGCCTGTGCTCACAGGTTCAAGACCAGCCTGGTCAAGAGCATGACCCTGTCTCTAAAAATAGCTGGGCACTGTGGTGGGCGCCTGTAGCCCAGCTACTTGGGAGGCTGAGGCAAGAGAATTGCTTAAGCCCAGGAATCTGAGGTTGCTATGAGCTGTGATACCACAGCACTCTACCAAGGGTGACAAACTGAGATTCTGTCTCAAAAAAAAAAAAAAAATATATATATATATATATACACACACACACAAACATTATACACTATACTGAAGACATTAAGAAAGAAAAGTATGGCTGTGCCCATAGCTCAGTGGGTAGGGTGCTGTCCCCCATACACCAAAGCTGGCAGGTTTGAACCCAGCCTGGCCAAGCTAAACAATAATGGCAACTGCACAAAAAAACAAAAAAATAGCTGGGCATTGTGGTAGTCCCAGCTACTTGGGAGGCTGAAGCAAAACAATCACTTGAGCCCAAGAGTTTAAGGTTGCTGTGAGCTGTGATGCCACTGCACTCTACAGAGGGTGATGAAGTGAGACTCTGTCTCAAAAAAAAAAACAAAACTGTGTACCGGACAGCCTCAGTGTCCCCAGACGGCCTCATCCCAGAAATAGTAGCATCAACCTGATGCCCTACCCCGCCCCACCCCAAGTGTGTTTTGTGTACATTTTGAGGAGCGAGTTCTCGGCCATACTGATCCATTTGTGTGTTTTCTTCTTGTTTTTAGTGGAGCAAGGTGACGTGGACCTGCAGAATCATCGGTACACCAATGCAGAGCCGCCTGGTAAGGTCGGGTGCGCCGGGGAGCGTGTAGATTTTGTCTAGGGTGACCAGACGTCCCTTCTTTGGCGGGACAATCCTGCTTTTGAACAATTTGTCCCGCATCCCACAGCGTTTTAAAAAAGTCCCGATTTTTGGAAAGCATGCACAAACGGGCAGGAGAACAGGAAGGGAATATACTGTTTTCGGCTGCCATGTGGCTATTTCGCCAGAATATGAGTTTTATATTATTTTTGTTAATTTTATAATGTTAAACTGTAATAATAACAAATAATTGTTGAGAAGTGATTATGGAGAACTGCTTATCAAAGTTTGCATTGTTGTCAGGCCCCGCCCACGCCCCGCCCTCGCCCCGCCCACAAGCCGTGTTGTCCCACTTTACAAATGTTAAAATCTGGTCACCCTAATTTTGTCCCTTTCCCCAGGCACTCTGACCCTACTGTCTTACCCACAACCCCAGATTCGGTTTCATGAGGCTCATGGTGTTTTTTTCTGTCTTGCTTTTGAGAGGATTCATCCGGGAGACGATAGAGGAACTCCCCAGAGAAGACTCACATATGCCCAAGTCTCCCTGCAAAACAATATTGATTACAAATTTCCTATGTTTATTACTCTTATTTATTTGTAAGTTGGAAACCTCCCTTCCCCAACAGAGGCAACACTTATTTAACAGGACAGCTGTCAAATTGAGATGACTTTTTAAGCACATTTTCAGAATTATTTTGAATTTCTAAAAACAAAAAAAAAAA